ATAAACACAGACAAGTCATTCATAACTAAAATATTACCTGCTCAAACAAGTGCGGGTAGTCGCGAAGCATATCCTCCTCGCACTCCCAAGAAGTCTCCTCGGCTCCTTTATGGTTATATTAAACTTTAACTAAGGGTATCACTTTATTTCTAAGTTTTTTATCCTCCCTAGCAAGAATATGAACTAGAATCTCGATGGTGGTTAAATCATCATGAAGCTCAATCTCCGGTGCGTCCAACACTCGCTGCTGCTCCTCGTCACGTAAATGCTTCTTAAGCATCGAAACATGGAAAACATCGTGTATACTCGACATCGATGCTGGAAGATCTAGCTGATACAAAACAGATCCAATGCGCTCAACAATCCAGAACGGGCCAATATACCTCGGGACAAGCTTTTCTCATCTTCCAAATTGCTAAACTCCCTTCATCAGCGACACTTTTAATAAAACATAGTCCCCAACCTGGAACTCTAGCGGTCGCCACCTCTGATCTGCGTAGCTCTTCTATTGACTCTACGCTACAAGAATACATTTCTAAATTAGTGATACCTTCTCTATAGTCTGTCTCCCAAGCTCCGGTCCAAGCAATAAGCTATCCTCTGGTTCTGCCCAACTAATAGGTGATCTATAAGGCCTCCCGTATAATGCCTCATATGGTGTCATACCTATGGTCGCTTAATAACTATTGTTATAAGTGAACTCAATCAATAGAATGCGATCCTCCCAACTACCCTGGAAATCAATAATACATGCCCGCATAATGTCTTCCATCACTTGGTTAACTCTTTCTATCTACCCATTTGTTTGCGGGTGGAACACACTAGAATATGATAATTGGCTGTCTAACGAGTTCTGGAAGCTCCTCCAGAAATGTGAAGTGAAAACTTAGCCTCGATCCGATACAATCGTCTCTTGAACTCCATGTAGTCTCATGATTTCCTGGATGAATATCCTCGCATAAGTCTCTGTCGTGTATGTCGTCTTCACTGGTATGAAATGTGCTAATTTCGTCAATTGATCAACTATCAGCCAAACGGAATCTTTCCCCTTCTTCGACCTTAACAATCCTACAATAAAATCCATGAAAATATTTGCCCACTTTCACTCCAGAATGGGTAAATGTTGTAGGTTCCTACAGGTCTCTGATGTTCTGCCTTCACTTGCTGGTAGGTAAAGCACTTAGCTACATATTCCGCAATATCCCCACGCATGCTGCTCCATCAAAAGTATCTCTTCAGGTCCTTGTACATTTTAGTTGTGCCTGGATGCACTGTGTACCTGGTGTGATGCGCCTCATCAAATAGGTCTTTCTTCAGCTGTGGATTTCTTGGTATCACTAATCGACCCTTTATTTGAAGACCTCCATCTGCTCCAATAGTCCAATCAGCCTTGTGCTCTTTGGAAATCTTCCTCTTTCGGGTTTGAATCCAAGATTCCTCTAGCTAAGCTCTGACCACCCTATCAATCCAAGATGGTTGCACGGTCAAAGCTCCAAAAATGCACTGCTCACGCCAATCTCTGGCCTAAAATCAAACTTGCTAAGGGTGTGAAGATCTTGATACAACGAGCACCTCAAAGTTAAAATCCGATGTCGACGCTTCCTGCTCAACGCGTCCGCTACGACGTTCGTCATCCTTGGATGGTACTGAATCACGAACTTGTAATCTTTAATAAACTTGACCCATCATCGTTGTCTCTGGTTGAGTTCCTTCTGAGAAAAGAGGTACTTTAGGCTCTGGTGATCCATGAATAGCTTGAATTGCACTCTATAAAGATAGTGTCTCCATGTCTTCAGTGCGAAGACCACTGCTGCTAGCTCCAAGTCATGTGTGAGATAGTTCTGCTCATGCGTCCTCAACTGCCACAAAATGTAAGCCACAACTCTCTGGGTCTACATCAAAACACCTCCTAGACCCGATAACGATGCATCCGTATAGACGATAAAGGTCTTATCACTGCTCGGGATAATCAATACCGGCGCTATAGTCAACTTAGCCTTCAAGGTCTCAAAAGCTTCCTAGCACTCCGTGCTCCAAACAAACTGCACACCCTTCTTCGTAAGGCGTGTAAGTGGCATCGTATATCTTTGAGAAGTCCTGAATGAACTTCCTGTAATAGCCGGCCAAACCTAAGAAGCTACGAATCTATGTAACAGTCTTCGGCAGCTCCCAATCAAGTATTGCCTCAACTTTCGCTAGATCTACTGCAATGCCCTCCTTGCTGATGATGTGGATCAAAAATCTAACCTAAGATAGCCAAAACTCGTACTTGCTGAACTTAGCATACAACTGATACTCCCGTAAAGTCTGCAATACCAATCGAAGATGCTGCTCGTGCTCTGCCTCCGATCTCCAATAGATAAGGATGTCGTCGATGAATATGATCACGAACTGGTCCAAATATAGATGGAAAACCTAGTTCATCAAATCCATGAATACCGCGGGTATATTGGTCTGCCCAAATGGCATGATAAGAAACTCGAAAGACCCATATCGAGTCAGAAAGATGGTTTTGGGAATATCCATCTCCCAAACTTGTAACTAATGATAGCCAGAACGAAGATCAATCTTCAAAAAATACTACGCTCCCTGTAGCTAGTCGAATAAGTCATCAATCCTTGGTAGTAGATACATGTTCCGGATAGTGACCTTATTCAACTCACGATAATCTATACATAAGCGCATACTACAGTCCTTCTTTTTCATGAAGAGAACTGGCACTCCCTATGGAGAATGACTCCAGCAAATAAAATCCTAAGACAAAAGCTCATCTAGCTAAGTCTGTAGCTCTCTCATCTCAGCAGTTACAATACGATAGGGTGCTCAGGATATCAGTATTGTGCCCGGCTACAACTTAATGCAAAGTCAACCTCTCTCACAGGAGGTAACCCAGGTATGTCCTGAAAGACATCATGATACTCTGAGACGACTCTAGTCTCTCATAAATCAGCACTCTGATCCCTCAGCATCACCTCCTCGATGTACATCAGGAATGACTCCGTAAACTGGTTGCCCTGTGAGGTTGCTACAATTAAATTAGACCTATCAGATGCTCGCAAGCTAATTGTTTTAGCAAAATAGTCGATAATGACATGGTAGGATGATAGCCAATCCATACCGAGAATGACATCAAAATCTGACAACCGCAAAATAACCAAATCAATGATAAACTCAGACTCATCTAGACTAATGACACATCTCCTACAAATACTCTCTAATAGGGACACCTCGCCTAGGAGTAGAGACTAATAATGGTAGATCTAAGGGATGTGCTACAAGCTTAAGCCTATCCATGAAGGTATAAAAAATAAAGGAATGTGAAGCTCCTGAATCAAACAAGATACGAGCTCGGAAGGAGTTCATTAAGAAAGTACTTTCCACTATGACTTTACTCACACCATGATCGCGTGGTACGACTGCATAAACCCTACCGATGGCTAAAGATTATGATGTTGAAGGCGGTGGAACATATGGGACTATCTGTCCCTGAGGAATCTCTTGGATAGCATGTATCTGGCCTGCTGGCCTGCTGGCCACTCAATCCTCGGAATAGTAGGCGGTGCCTCGATCCTCTGCTGTTGGCCGTAACAGAGGCCCTGCGACTGCTAACCCTAAACACGGTTCTGCTATTCGTGTCCATATCTCTGCTGTTGGCCCTAGCCTTTGTCCTGCTGGCCTCATGCTAGTGCACTACAATAATCCTCCATCCTATGATCGATCTTGTTGCAGTTGTAACATGCACCTTGAATCTTGCACTGTTGTGACGCTCTAAAATCATGTTGTGACCCCTTCTTAGAAGGTCCTTGGTGCTGGTGATGAAAATCCTTGTCCTTAAAGTCCTGCAAAAGGTCTCTTGCCCTTGCCCTTGTTACAATGTTGTCCTGCCTTAGTACTACCTTCCTTGGTCTTCTGAAATATTGCAGTCTCTGTTTTCTGCAAAATAGCGGTGTCAGCTACCTCTCGAACTGAACGGAATCGTCTGGAAACGAGGTAACGACGAAGGCTTGGATGAAGCCCCATAAGAAACATCTGAGCTTGGCGGTCTCATGTCTATCACATGCCCGTGAATCGAAGTAAACTCATGAATCTGCTTTCGTAGTCTGCTATGAATATGTCCCCCTGTTCCAACCTGGATAGCTCTAACTCTTTCTCGGCCCATGCCGTGAAAGAGATGTACCGCTCGTCGAAGAAATAAACAAAATCTTCCCAAGTGAGTATCATCCTCATGCATCACCCTTAAGGCAGGAAGCGGACAACCTCTGTTTCTACACTAAATCAATATCAAGTATATCAAGAATATTTCCCCCATCTTCCTTCCACTTGTTGGATACTAGTGAGTCTAACAATCCCTGAAATTCTGGTGCTCTCATCTTCTGATACCTCTCAACTAGACGGAGCCAAGCCTCCTACTCTGTGGCTCTATCAATAACTGGTGGTGGTATAAATCTTGGTGTACCTTCTAGGGACTCCTCTGCAATTGGAATAGCTGGAATCACTGGTGGTGGAACCACAGGTGGTGATGCAACTGGTGGAGTCTGGTTCGACACTTGCTGCTCAAGTGTTTCAAAATTATGATGCAAACAACGCCATGAGGTCGATCAGATATTGTGAAGCCTGCTGCGGCTCGGGCTCTGCTTGCCCAGCTCTCAGGGTATGAGTTCTATCTCGACCACATCCTTGTCCTGATATTTATGATATCAAGAGGAGAGCTTATTAGACACAGTAAGTGAGATTGCAAACATATATATATATATATGAGAGAGAGAGAGAGAGAGAGAAAAACTCGTCAACTTAAGTGGACAAGAGGTGTTGTCCACCAATGTTTTTAACCGTTGGATTAGATTTTAATATCAGAATTTTGATTAAATGACGTGGCACGAATTAATTGCTAAGAGGGGTATTTTCGTCTAAAAAAATTAGGAAATCTCTCTTATAATTGGAAATCAGCACCGCCCCCTTAATTGATTTTGCAGCCTAAAAAAAAGGAAATCATCACCGCCTCCTGCTTCAGACCTCCGCCCGCCCAGGCTACGAAATCATCACTGCGCTCTTTCAATATCCCCCAACAATCCCTCTCGCCGTCCACGCGCTTCAGACCTCCGCCCGCCCAGGTTAGGAAATTAGCCCTTCGCCCGTCCACGCGCTTCAATAACCTTGACGAAGCTGACTGGTGATGATTTAAGTTGCCAGCTCTTAATTTTGGTGTTTAATATTATATAAGATTTGTGTCAATCAAAGCTTGAGCATGCTGGCAGCTTCACTCATGGCGGAAAAAAACTTAAGCGGAAAAAAACTTAAGCCCGTCTACTCGCTTCAGAGCGCCGCCGCTGGCCAGAGATCCACCGCCCACTGGCCAAACATCCGATTCCCGCACGCGGGCCAAACATCCGATTCCTGCTCGCGCTCAGAACTCCGCCATCCGGTGTGTGTATATATATATATATATATATATATATATATATATATATATATAGAAAAACTCTTGTCAACTTAAGTGGACAAGAGGTGTTGTCCACCAACGTTTTTAACCATTGGATTAGATTTTAATATCAGGATTTTGATTAGATGATGTGGCACGAATTAATTGCTAAGAGGGGGTATTTTCATCTAAAAAATTAGGAAATCTCTCTTATAATTGGAAATCAGCACCGCCCCCTTAATTGATTTTGCAGCCTAAAAAAAAAGGAAATCATCACCGCCTCTGCTTCAGACCTCCGCCCGCCCAGGCTACGAAATCATCACTGCGCTCTTTCAATATCCCCCAACAATCCCTCTCGCCGTCCACGCGCTTCAGACCTCCGCCCGCCCAGGTTAGGAAATCAGCCCTTCGCCCGTCCACGCGCTTCAATAACCTTGACGAAGCTGACTGGTGATGATTTAAGTTGTCAGCTCTTAATTTTGGTGTTTAATATTATATAAGATTTGCGTCAATCAAAGCTTGAGCATGTTGGCAGCTTCACTCATGGCGGAAAAAAACTTAAGCGGAAAAAAACTTAAGCCCGTCTACTCGCTTCAGAGCGCCGCCGCTGGCCAGAGATCCACCGCCCACTGGCCAAACATCCGATTCCCGCACGCGGGCCAAACATCCGATTCCTGCTCGCGCTCAGAACTCCGCCATCCGTCCACTCGCTTCAGAACACCGTCGCTGGCCAGAGATCCGCTGTTCCTTTGAAGATTAAAATCTTGTTATGGTTGTCTATTAGGGACAAATTGAATACAAAGGACATACTGATTAGAAAAGGGATTGTGATTGAGAATATATGTGTATTGTGTGGTGTCGAGGTTGAGACTCATTATCTTTTATTTATTTATTTTTGTTTTTTTACAATGGCCTTATGATATATATATATTGTATATACATATACATATATATGTATATAATATATGTATATATATATGTATAATATACATATACATATATATGTATATAATATATGTATATATATATGTATATAATATATGTATATATATATGTATATATATATATGTATATATACATATATACATATATATGTATATACATATATATACATATATATGTATATACATATATATACATATATAGATATATATATTTGATGTAACTGATGATTTTATGAGAGTACATGAGTTATGGTCTTCATGGAGATTATTTTGTGTGCCTCATGTTTGATGGTAGAAGTGGGACATGTATAGTAGTGCTTTGATTTGGGTTATCTGGTGTGAAAGAAACAATCGCAATTTTTAATTAAAAAAATGCAGACATTCTTCGCAGTTATTGGGCAGATTAACTATTTTGTTGATTTTTAGTTAGGGAGCACTTGTATCACAGTATCAGTGCTCCCTCCAGGAACTACTTCAGACACAGAGTTTGTAGAAGGGGACCTGATGATATAAGGATGGACTTCGACCTGCAATCAAAGCATTGATTTTGAGAACACGTGTAAATGCATTTCAACTTTGATTTTCACAAAGCGAATAAATACATAGTCCTCATCTACAGTCAGCAAGCACATATTGTACATTGTGTAATATAATAAGAGAATATGGATGCATTGCTAAACATCAAGAGAAATTATATCAAGGCACGCAATATTATTTAACAAGTGCTCTGAAGTATGAACAGAAGTAAGATAGAAGAAAATGACTTTATCAGAATAAACATAAAGGAGATGCAGATTTCTAGGCAATTTTTCCATAAAAAGTTTGGGACAAGTACATCATATGGAGAGTATATGCAGATGGACATAGTATCAACTAATACACAACTAAGAATTTGAAATGCACGCATCCCAATCGCGAGCGTTACTGAATGATATTAATCATATAAAACAAGGTCTTCCACAACAAAATGCTAGAAAATAAAATAACAAACATAAAAATCTTTTAAGGCCATAAAGTAACTTCACATATCTAGAGAGCTTCGAAAGAACATTAACAAACAAAAAAAAAGATTAGAATAGGTTATTAGTAGCAATATTCTTCAACATCTTCATCCTCTTCTTCTTGGTCTTCCGGATCTTCCTCTTCTTCCTCATTGATGCTTCCTACATGACTTGTTGTTTGGGCCTGCACAAATCTCAAAAAAATTAGAAAAATCGTACTTTGCATAGGAACATTGTTTCACATTTGATAATAAAAAAAGTAATTTTACCTTGCAAGTTCGACTATTGTGGCCTTTCCCCTGACATTTCCCACAAGTCCTTTGCTTCTTAGCTTTCAACTCTGAAGGAGGCTTGAAACGTTGCATCTTTCTTTTTCCTTTGCAATTTGAAATAGGAGGAGCTCTCACGATACAATTATTATCAATAATATTTTCTTGTGTTTGAGAACATGCAGAACCTTGGATTTGTGTCATGTCGTCATGCCCCGATTTATTCTCTAATAAGTGCTTTTTTGTCGCTACTAATTCTCCCATAACTTGATCTATTTTTTTATTTGCCAAATTATACAACTCAATAGATGTGGAACCTTCTACGACCAATTTCATTATTTTTCGAGACAAACTATTAAACATTAGAGTCTTTGTGGAGGAATTTGACGATTCAATGCTAAGACATTGGTGCGTATCAAAACTTTCTTCCTTAGCTGACTTTGTCCATCTCTTTAAAATATATTCAGAGGGTATTTCCAAGATATCAAGATGCAAAAGGACCTTAACCACATGCGAGCACACCATTCCACTAAATTCGAACATTTTACAATTGCAAGATACTGTCGTAGGGGCTTGGAAGTTAACAATATAAGTTCTTCTTCTAGCAATTGGTTTGTCGGAGTTTGGGACTTGCACTAGTTTGTATAATGGTTTAGGCTCCATTTCATTCAGAGAATATGAAAATATCTCTTTTAGTTGATCCTTGAATACCCTAAACATTGCTCTAGTATAAATTTTTTGTGCATGCCTCTCTATTGGGCTTGGAGACCATGAACTTGGCTTGTATTGCAGAGAGCGAAAATCCTCTTCCTCTTCTACGTCATATCGATCTTCTAAAGCCTTTTCATATTGCATGACAAACTCATAAATTGTTGTATGGTTATTGACTCTACCTTTGAGAAGTGCATTGAAACTCTCGCTTCTTTGCGTTGTAGACATGAAAGCACAAAATATATTTCTAAAGTATGATTACATGAAGGATTCCGCGGTCTCGTCTCTAATCAAAGCACAACCAAATAATATAGTTTGAGAATGGTGGTTTACCCCGATGAATGGTGCAAGTGGCATACTGTACTTGTTTGTACAATATGTGGTATCAAAAGTGACCACATCTCCAAAATGCTGGTAGGCCATCCTTGATCTCCCGTCAACCCAAAACATATTTTTTGCACAATTATTACTATCAATCTGGATTGCATAAAAGAACATGGGATTCTCAGCTTGTAGTTGTTGAAAGTGACTTAGAGTCATTGAGATATCACTATCAAAAAGAGACATTCTTTGGCGTGTTGCAAAGTTGCTTAGGTCCCTCCTTGTGAATGATAAATTACGAACCCCTCCACGTTGAAATGCAATAAAGTCCCTAATATGCTTTGTTGAAATATTTTGCTCACGCATGGTTTGTATAAGGTCGACTTCTTCATCTCCAATCTTTCGCCGACACCGATAGAAACGAGATTTTGAGGGGCTCGGTACTAATTCATGGTTGTGCTTCTTCTCAAAGGATGATATGATCCAATTTTCTTCATCATCTAATTTCACACGCATACTTGCTTTGCAACCAGTTTGAATGCTAGATATCTCCTTCGATGGACTTTTCTCGAATGTGTTATCCCTAAGTAATGGCTCATTCCTTTTGCTTTTAGAAAAACCCTCATGAGAGCAAGTAAATACTTGCATTGTGATGGCATTTTTTCTCTTAGACAAATAATTAGATCCTTTTCTAAACCCAAACCCAATGAATAATGCATAAGCACTATAATATTTCATTGCTTCCTCCAAACTTTTGAACATCATACCTATCTTCGGTTCATCAATACATGGTATGTGACTCAAGTTGTCTTCTAAAAGTTCATCTTCATGTGGCTGACTATGTTGCGTCGTCTTTTCTATTTCTTCATTTGCACAAAAAAGATCTCTGTCTACATATTCCCCTAATCTTGTCATGAGACAACCTGTAACCATAATAGAAAGATTATTAGATTGCTTCATAGATGGAGAAAATTTTAATATAGGGTAAATTGAGCTCACAGATGATAAAATAAAAATAACAAGTGGAAGGGGAAATCTATATTTCATATTTACTAACAAACTAAGAAGACTGGTTAATAAGATATATTTATGAATAACTAACAAACTAAGAAGACTGGTTAATAAGATATATTTATGAATAAATCAAAAAGATCCAAGAGCCTAGAGAAATTAAAATAGAAACTGGTAACTGTTCATTACAAAAATAATGCTAATGAGGCTAAATAAATAGTGTAAGTCCTAAAATAATCTAACGTAACTGTTCATTACAAAAATAATGCTAATGAGGCTAAATAAATAGTGTAAGTCCTAAAATAATCTAACAAGTCTTCTTAGTTGGCCGTCGGAAATCATTGAAAAATAACATCTCAATCATCACCAGTCAGCTTCGTCAAGGTTAACATCTCAATCAAATTAATAAAGCTTTGAATTTGGCAAAATACTGGGAGGAAATCATCTCAAAGCTTTGAATTTGCCATTCTTTGAATCTGGGGCTTGATCGTAGAACAACTCGACCACAAGAAAAACATTAGAAAGAAACCAATCACAGGATTATCACTATGCGTTCAAGCTATCAAAATATTCTTTCAGCAACGACATAGATGCATCAAAAATAAACTGAGAAACTGACTTATTCAAGCTATCAAAATATTCTTTCAGCAACGACATAGATGCATCAAAAATAAACTGAGAAACTGACTTAGTAATAGAAGAATAAGAAATGTATTGATGATTAAAAAAAAGAATGGCAGATATGAGAAAAGTGCAAACTCATGTCAGACTCAATGGCAACTTACTTCTAAACCTTCGTTGAGCAAGAGAACACTCCGACTTTGGAGGCGAAGGGCTGATTTCCTAACCTGGGCGGGCGGAGGTCTGAAGCGCATGGACGACGAGAGGGATTGTTGGGGGATATTGAAAGAGCGCAGTGATGATTTCGTAGCCTGGGCGGGCGGAGGTCTGAAGCAGGAGGCGGTGATGATTTCCTTTTTTTTAGGCTGCAAAATCAATTAAGGGGGCGGTGATGATTTCCAATTATAAGAGAGATTTCCTAATTTTTAGACGAAAATACCCCTCTTAGCAATTAATTCGTGCCACGTCATCTAATCAAAATCCTGATATTAAAATCTAATCTAACGGTTAAAAATGTTGGTGGACAACACCTCTTGTCCACTTAAGTTGACAAGAGTTTCTCTCTCTCTCTCTATATATATATATATATATATATTATATATAATATATTAATATATATATATAATATATATATATATATATCTATATATACATAACATATATGTATACAGCAAGCATAACTGTATATGTATATATATGTAATACTATATATATGTATGTTGTATATGTATGTATGCTATATATGTATATATATAATTATATAATAATATATATATATATATATATATATATATATTATATATATATATATATATATATGTATATATGTATATTATATTATATATATATATGTATATGTATATATATATATATATATTGTATAATCTAACATATATATATAATTACTATATATATATATATATATATATATATATACTATATATTATATATATATATATATATATATATATATATATATATATATATATATAATATATATATATATATATATATATATATATATATATATGTATATGTATATATACATATATGTATATCTACATATATATAGTGTATAGTTGCTATACTCGTATATCTCATATGTATATCTACATATATTACGCTAATAATTACCTATATATATATAGTATATATAATATATTATACTATGATATATATATATATAATATATTATATATATATATATATATATATATATTAATATATATATATATTAATATAATATATTATAATATATATATAATAACATATATAGTAGATATATATACATAATATATATATATTATACATATATACATATATATAATATATATATATATATATAATATATATATATATATATATATATATAATATAATATATATACACATAGCATAAGAAAATCGTATCAATATCATCAATGCAAATACTTTATATTCAAAGTAAAATAGTTGTCATAAAAAATCCAAAATTCTTGAGCTATACGTAATACCTCCTTACTCATTCTAGGAATTCTTAGCGGACTCTATACATGAATCCTAAAAAACTTTATTCTACCGCCACGACTTGACACAGGATGATCCTAATGATGTTGGAACTAGAGCTCTGATACCAACGGTGACGCCCTTGTTTTTCACACATGACTGTAGTCCAAGGTAAACCCAGAGATGTCAAACCTATCATGCACCCACATTGTGTAACAACACGTTTCACCATCACAATAATATATCTCTAGTGGAATCAACAACAAATGTAGGTATAAAACAGATAAAATAAGGGAAATAAATGCATTAGACATGATGTAGAAAGAGATATCTAATAAATATAATCATGTTTCATCTGAATAAACTAAATACAACTCAAGTCTGAAATAAATATGACGTATCTCAATTTGAGTCAACAGAAAATAAACTAAGGCACACAACCTTTACAAGATGAAATACAAAACTCTAAATATCCGAAAAATATCAACTATGGTGGAGTCCCATCTACTAAAAAAATGTGATGGTGACTATGTTGGAAGTTCGTCATCCTGCGGCTCTCCAGAACTCTGAGCTGCTACCTGAAAGGAATTATAAAATAACAAGAGAAACAACAAGAGCATCAGAGCGCTATAGCAAGATCATCTTCATCCGCCCCCAGGGGAAGGGCTACTAGATGTGATGGAGGCTCTATCTATTAAGCATAGTTAACCTAGACCATTTACCATATATCTAAATGGAATTAATATTTAAAAACCTACAACACGAGACGTAGTACATCGAGCGAAATAATCTAAATAAGAAAACCATCATGTATATACCATATGTCTCAAATTGTAGATAACTAAATATCAATACTGAACTAAGAATAAACAATCTAATAGAATCAATAATTAGAAACTCACAACACGAGACTGGTACGTCGAACGAAATAATCCAAACAAAGAAACCCTCATGTATAGACTATATGTCTCAAATTGTGAATCGCTAATCATCAATCCCAACTATGAATAAAGTATAGCAATACAAGAAAGAAAAATCATCATAATATCGGAAAAAAAAATCTTCCACTATCCTTTGGAAGATAATGTAAACAACTGCATATAATGTCGCGTACGTACAAGAGTAATGTACCTAGGTCATATATAACTCAGCGATGAGTCATGTTCATAAATGGCGTCCACCAAGACTCAAGCTATCGGATAATTATCACAATGTAAATCCTTGTAAAGTTTATAATTCATCGCATTGTCATACGGGACGGACTACCAAATCGTCATTCTAAAAGTGTACACGGCTCATTAGTCTCATCGCATCAACGTGCGGGACGGACTACCAAATCAGGCATCCTAGGTATACGACTCACAAGCCTCATCGCATCTACGTGCAGGATGAACTACTAGATCAAGCATCCTAAAACCAAACTCAATGGTCTGTACTAATGGTATATCGACGCACTATCCCAAGTAGTATTGAACGGTGATCATCAACAATATCCATACAAGTATATAATGTTAAAATAACATATATCTCCCATGTAATTGAAACAATAACTGTATTAATCCTCTTCAGGATACCCATGTGTGTGCTACGACATTATACGTGTATACTCATGATTATACATATATCATCTGCGCCTCAAACCCCGCGTTTAAAAACAAAAAGTGTAAAAGACAACACTTTAAACAAAAGAGAACACAGGTCAGTCGACCGCCCCTAGGGTGTCGGTCGACCGAACGCAAACGTGCACAAAGTGCACTCACAGGATCTTACCGATCGACCGGCTAGCCTTGGTCAGTCGACCGGCCAGAGAAGATCTTCACAGATCATGTTTCGACATTTGTTTTTTGTAACTTTATTCAAAAACTTAATTTTATTAACATGAGACATATAACAAGATTTAAACTTTCATATTTACTTAACAGGGATTAACTCAACATGATTTAAACTCTTGAATTTAAACTTTCATATTTACTTAACAGGGATTAACTCAACATGATTTAAACTCTTGAATTAATCTAGTTAGGGTTTAGCATCTCAATTAACCAAAATTTCTCAAATAAAACATAAATTATCAACATGATTAACTAAGCATGATTGGAACTAACCATTGAACATATATAAAATAATTTAAACACGTTCGCATCACTTAGGTGTCACAAACATAGGGTTTATACATCTTAAATTAACAAGAAAACTCAATTAATTGTTAAACTAGGGTTTAAACATGATTTAAGCATGATTAATAAATTAAAACAAAATAAAAAGCAACCCTAATGATTATGATTATTACCTAATTTAAACAACAACTAAATCTATAGATTTTCACATTGGTTTAAAGATTAACATCATAAACTAAGATTTTAAAACATCGGGTTAAGCTTTAACATGAGAGTCATCAATTAAACTTCTTAAATCATATATTAACTATAGTGAAAGGTTTGGATAAAGATGATCTTGCCTCAAATGTCATGTTGAACTCCTGAACACGTGCATGCAAGATCCCTCTTCACCAAAGTCGCAAAATCCCGCCTTCCTCTTGACAAACGCCTCAAGAACTCTCTCAAATCTCACAAATTATGATTAGTTTTGAGAGAGAGAGGATGAGGGGCTACTAAGGTTTGGAATACTAATAAAAAGATGTATTTTTCATGTGTAAACATGCACATATATAACTACAAACCCGAATCAAAATAGCCCAAACCCGAAATAGGAAACCCAGTCAAACTGAGAAAATAGTCTTTACTATTTTGGTTGTAACTTTCACGTCTAACCTCGGAATGAGGTGATTTAAGATGCATGTGTTGGAAATCTATTGAAGATACCTACAACTTTTGTCTTTTAAGTTTTTCCAGATTTGAATTGTATTGATGTGTAATGCATATATACTCTTAACTGGTCATTTTTCCATATTTCTTCTTTGTGCATGTTTAACCTTTGTATACTCTCATATACACTCTTAATTGATATCAAATCAATTGTTAGCATAATCATTCATCCATAAATGATATTCATCATAATTAGAGCTTAATTATCAATATAATTCACACTATTTTTTAAAATTCACAGGGTTTTACACGATTAGTGAGCGACTTCGTCAAATTCAAATCCTCCAATTTAGACTACAAATCAGTGGCTATCTTCTCCATGAGAACTTCTTGCAAAACTTTGTTTGTAAAACATAACTGGATTGTTGTGATAGCTCTATCATCTAACTCGTTCTAATCTTCCTCCATCATAGTAGCCAGTTTCTTTGACTTCCCGAACAAAGCCTTCTTCAATCCACTCTGTGTCAACACAGCAATCATCCTAACTTGCCAAAGGCTAAAACTAATGTTGTCGTCAAACTTCTCGATATCCCACTTCATAGTAGTTATCATCTTCTTCTTGTCCAATCGATAGCTGAGGACGCTGATACCAATTTGTTATGACAAACTCCCTAGGATAAGCTTATATCAATCACACGAGAGCACGAAAAATATCAAGAACACACGAACACAAAGATATATGTGGCTCGGCTAGTAGCCTATGTTCAAGGGAGAAGGAGGTAAAAAGCTTTACTAATTGTGAGAAATACAAAGTGGAATCTCTCAATCCCTCAATCCTAAATAACACCCCAAAAGCCTAATACAACTCTCAACTAAAAGAACAAAAGAGAATAATATCAAATAGGCTTCATAAAAGAACTCTCTCTTCTTGATTGATGCTCTAAAGATTGATGCATCTAGTTGGCTTGAAAGACTGTTCTTATATAGCCTTGAAGATCCCAGCTCCTTGTTGTCTAAAGAATAAGAGTTCTAATAGGAATAGAAGTCCACATGTCCTAAAACCCAACAAG